TTTTCAGAAAAGGTCCCTCTACTTTACTTTATGTAATATGACACATAAAGAAAACTCCCCACAAATATCTGTCTTAAATTTCTCTAGTGTAACAAAAAAATATATGGTGGCTGGCAGAACAAAACAGATGAAATAGTCTGGATGTATTAAAAAAAAAAGTATGAGAGAAAGGTGGGGTGGGGGTGGGTGGGAAGGAAGAATGGAAATAAGATCTATTCAATGAGCCTTCAAAGCCACTCCAGCAGTAGGGATAAATAATTTAATAAACTCAACTTCATATTCTTTTTTATCTCCCTGGTGCAATAAGCAGATATTAAAAAAAAATCTTTAAATTCATGAATACTGGTATATAGAATCACAGCCAGCAGATAATGAAAAAACACAGGAAGTAATATCTCCACAAGCACTTAACATATATGTGCATATGCTCTAACTAACCATTATTTTTCCCACATGAAAAGACACTATTGTGGAAATTTATGAGCCTGAAACTCAATTTTTCAAATTAGGTTTATTAAAACACAGAAACCTTTTATTCATACATTCCTCAACATAATTGGGCTTTTTCTGTATGTATGCACTAATAAGGTGGCTATTTACATGTCACTTTGTCTACAGCATGTACGTACAAAGGACGAGATAATGGGGGGAGGGATAACTAGGGAATCATATTTCAGGAAATATACCTTTCCTTGTGTTTCATACACTTAAAATTTTGGGGAATAAAAACATTTTAGTAACATTAATTCTAATATAACTATGATGATAAAATGGCGTGTGAATGCTAACTCTAAACGCCACATTTTCAAAATGTCAGACCATGGGGATGACCAAATAAGTTCAATACATGGTCACAGAAAGAAAAAAATTCTAAAATAGAGTCTGTTATACCTCAAGGTCCCAAATACCATACAAATGTAAACGTTTCAGTCATTAAATCATGAGATTCTTGTTCTCCCTTCAATTAGGTTGGTTTTCAACAATTATCATTCTATTATTAGCTCATGTCAAGAATGTCTGCATGCATACCATTTAAAACAATTCAGCATTTATTTCTTTAAGCTGGGGAGACTTTAATAAGCATACGTTTGCTGCAATACTAACAAATGCTCTCATATTTTAAGCAAAATATTTATAATTTAAAAAAAATCATTACTAAAGATGTACCACAGATAATTTATATAAGTTCACCAAGTGTGTTAATCAAAGCATTTTATGTTATCTTGGTACACTATTCCATGATTTTAAAACAGTTTATTTTAGAGGTGAAGTACATCTTTTAAAAGAAATGACTTACATAAAATGTTTCAATATTCAAAACACAGAAAAAACATTTTAACTGAATTAATGAATAAACTAATATGTCAGCAACTCTATAGATTGAATATTTCCCTTTCATGGGACATCACAGTTATAAGAGAAAGAAGATACACTACTTCACTAAGACTTTAATTTTAATTTTCTTTTCACCAATGACTGGTGTCTAAGATCAACTGAAAGGTTTTTGCTACACAAGGCAATTCATTTCACGTGTTCATTGTAATAGAAAATCACTGTGTTGCAGCAACAAGCAGGACTTGCGCAGGAGTAATATTATAGGTCGCCCAGTTCACCAACAGTGACAGCAGCAGATCTGTGAATCTTGTGTTATGTAAATCACTGTCAGCTCCATATGCGAAGGGTACTCAGAAAAGCAGCTCAGAAAACAGCAGCAGACTCACTTTCCTCGAAACTGAATTACTTCACTTTCCTGGAATACACTTTGACTAACAAGTTACCCTAGTGCCTTCTCACTCTCCATTTTTCTTCCTCAAAGTGCAAATCATTAGTGAAAAGCCCCAGGTTGCACCAATTAGTTTGCACAAAATGTTTCGTTGTTTAGCTTCGTTTTAACCCAATTAGGCCGAATAGGCTACAGAGTCTGTAAGATCTACCACCTGCGTGTCTGGGTTTTTCAGAAGGTCTATGGCTCCCGCCCACTGCATCCCCATCGCGATTCACATTAAACCCAACTGGAGGGCTTATTGAGCATGGATACAAACATATTAAATCACCCCAGTAGGTGTTAATGTCTCCCAAAACTGCCCGGGCGATTTATCTGCCCCCATATTCCATCACATCTAGAATCAAATGTGTTCATTTCCAGGTGCCCCCCCCCCCCAAAAAAAGTCAAAACCAAAACTTAAACCATAATAGACAAACACACAGTAGAGTCTATGGATGTCTGGGTATTCTTGAAAAATAAAGTGACTTCATTATACTTTGAGCTAGAAAAAAATAGCTGATAAGATTTCAACTGTTAAATACATAAAAACTGAGAAACATTCCAAGGAGATTTGTGTTTAGTTTGGTTTATGTGTGACTGCTGGCAACTGAGGTAAAGTATAGTTAGGACAGGGGATGGGAAAACCAGCAGGCAACAAGGAAAGTGGCAGGGCATGAGACCCGAAGAAACAGAGAAAAGACTTGGGGAGAGAGACAGAGGCAGAAACGGGGGCAGAGACAGGGAGGGAAGCAAAAAGAAGCAAATAGGTGTAGGGCAATTAGAGAGAGAAGAGTAGGGGTTAAGGACTGGAGAAGCAGAGAAAAAAAGCAAAAGACAGAAAGGGGGAGGGGGGCAAAAAGCAGTTTCCACTAGGTTAGGCTAAAGGCAGCTTCTTCCTTTTTCCCTGAGAGGCAACAGCAATACACTTTGCCAGTCAGGACCTCTGTTCTGATTTGTCTTCTCTTGACTCCTTTTCCTTCTACAAAAGGTGGCCTGTGTTTACTAGTAACTGAAAATTAGGCAAAAATGAAGAGAAGCATTTAAAGAATTTTTAAACCCAATTCCCAGCCCTACCAGAAGGGACAGTGCTTGGGTAAGGAAATCTATGGATGGTAGGAGCCCAATATTTGTTTTATAATTTCCACCTAGTAACAGAATTTATCAGGATTCTCCACAGATTACCAGAGAGGTCAAAGAATATATGGTTTTGTGATCTTAAAATAAAGTGTAAAAAATAAGTTACAAGATGTGAACATTTTTGATTTGTAGGAACAGTCTAATACAAATAGGGAAGGTCTCTTGGGACCAGTCACCTATAAATGGGGGTAGGGGAGGGGAGAAGGAAGGATGTCTATCGATGGGGAAGAGTCAAATGAACTATTTTAAACTGGGAAAGGAAAAAAAATTAAAAAGTAGCTTCCCATTAAATGTGATTGAATGTGACTGGAAATTAATTTGGGTATTTCAAAATCCATCCCAGTTTTAAAATATAATGGAGAAACCTACTGAGTATTCCTTCAATTTGATGTACTTTGCCAAAACAAAACAAAACAAAAACCCACCAAAAATAGGTAAGAGAAGTTTTCTTCTCTCCTAAAGTTTTAAAAATTTTGATGAGTAATTCTTAATTATTTCAAAATTGTCAAAATGAAACATTCCTTTCTTGAAGTTCGATTAATCTTAAAATATGATCAACAGTTCCTTTTGAAGTATATCAAGGGATGCTACAAAGGAGGATCTGGCAGTCTTTACACTCTGCAAATTCAGGCTACCACTGTGGACACTTAAGAGAGAGTTCCTTAAATACAGACATACAGACAAACCCAAAATTCCAAACCTTCAAACTATCAAGTTAGTGATATGCCAGCATATCTGAAATTTTTCTTGTGCCCCCATTTATTACAACACAGTTTGAAATAAGTTCACATTAAAATAAACTATACAGAGAAATAATTTCCTATTTATTTTTCAAGCACTTTCCAAGGCTACATATATATTACATAGTTCAGCACATTGATAATGATGGAGAAAAGCCTACAATCACACAAGAGGAGAAACAGGGAGTTGGGGGAAGGTTTACTAAGTATCTAACTTTTTTTTACTTAGTTGATTAATCAAGGACAGAAATCACCAGACACTTTTTCACAATTGGGATTTTAAATATTTGTTTCAACTGCCACAAATGAAAAAGTCAAATAAAGAGCATACAAAATATGCATAACTTAAAAAAAACCTAACAAATCTAACCCAGTGGAACAAGTAAAATGTTATTTAAAAGCTATTTCATAGCTACTTACTATCTAAAAAGAAAACTTCAAAACTGAAAAATTACAAACATCTACAAGGTCAAAAGGAGAAAAATAATCTCACAGCAAACACAAATTAATGAATTTGTCTATGAAAACTCCCTTCTAGTTCACCAACTGATGGATGACCATCAAATACACCTGCAGTCACATTTCAGCCGTAGAGATACAACCAGGATTTCACTGCAGAAGAGAAGGATTTTGCCAAGTTCTTTCAAAACGTCAATATGCTTCAAGTAACACCAAAGCTAAGAGATTCTTCTTGATTTCCAAAAGTATCTAGGTAGCCTGGGTGGTTTTCTGCCGGCAGCAGCCTCCTACCTTTGGTTTGCGTGTCTATATCCAAGAGGGGGGATTAATTAACCGGGTTTGAGCTGAAGTAGGCTGCGGTGACGAGCCCAGTGGCGATTGGCCGCCCGCCTGCCTGGCCCTGCCTTTATAATTTCCACTCGAGTGCATCTGGGCTCTTATACAAACCAACAGCAGCTTCTTCTGACATACACACACAGACAGACATCCAACACTTTTACACCATCTGATTAACAGCCTGGCACACATTGTGATTACAGGAAAACATAAATAAATACAAAAACAGTTTATTATTTTGACTACTGGAAGAGCTTTTCTGTGTCTCAGTGCAACTTTTGTTTTGCTGGGAAGGTGATCTCTCCATGCGTTTCTCTCACACGGATTCTTTAAAAGAGGGAGAGGAAGAGAGACAGACAGACACAGAGAAAGTGAGCCAGACAGGGGGAGGTGGTGGGGAAAAGTAATCTTTCCCTTTAAAACCGGCTGGGCTCAAAGATAAAAGGATCTGGAAAACAGCAACTGAGAAACAACAGCTACAGCGCATTGGAAAGATTGTTTTGGGGGGGTTACGTTTCGGAGGACAGCAGCCTGTTTCTCCTCTGAAGTTGGCTCCAGCTTTAGCAGCCGCATTGGATCCCACAGCCTATTGTGAGACTCCGGTGTACAATCCGGATCTCTGCCCCAACATGATCGCGGCCCAGGCCAAGCTGGTTTATCATCTGAATAAATACTACAATGAAAAATGCCAAGCCAGGAAAGCCGCCATCGCCAAAACTATCCGAGAAGTCTGCAAAGTAGTTTCGGATGTGTTGAAGGAAGTGGAAGTGCAGGAACCCCGTTTCATCAGTTCTCTCAATGAAATGGACAATCGTTATGAGGGTCTGGAGGTCATTTCACCCACAGAATTTGAAGTGGTGCTTTATCTTAATCAAATGGGGGTCTTCAACTTTGTGGATGATGGTTCCCTGCCGGGATGTGCCGTGCTAAAGTTAAGCGATGGGCGTAAAAGGAGCATGTCTCTTTGGGTGGAGTTCATAACAGCCTCCGGTTACCTCTCTGCTCGGAAAATCAGGTCCAGATTCCAGACCTTGGTGGCTCAAGCAGTGGATAAATGTAGTTACAGGGATGTGGTAAAGATGGTGGCAGATACCAGCGAAGTGAAACTGAGAATAAGAGATAGATATGTGGTGCAGATTACCCCAGCTTTTAAGTGCACGGGGATCTGGCCAAGAAGTGCTGCCCACTGGCCACTTCCCCACATCCCCTGGCCGGGACCCAACAGGGTAGCAGAGGTCAAAGCTGAAGGGTTCAACCTCTTATCCAAGGAGTGCCACTCTCTAGCAGGCAAACAGAGTTCAGCGGAGAGTGATGCCTGGGTCCTGCAGTTCGCAGAAGCAGAGAACAGACTACAGATGGGAGGTTGCAGAAAGAAATGCCTCTCGATTCTCAAAACCTTACGGGATCGACACCTGGAACTGCCAGGCCAGCCCCTGAACAATTACCATATGAAGACTCTGGTTTCTTACGAGTGTGAAAAGCACCCCCGGGAATCGGATTGGGACGAATCTTGCCTGGGCGATCGCCTTAACGGAATTTTACTGCAACTTATATCCTGCCTACAGTGCAGGCGGTGTCCTCACTACTTCTTACCAAACTTAGACCTCTTTCAGGGCAAACCTCATTCAGCTCTGGAAAATGCTGCCAAACAAACGTGGCGACTGGCTAGAGAGATACTTACTAATCCTAAAAGTTTGGAAAAACTTTAGAGGACAATTTTAATAAGGGCCGAAATGATTCCCAAGTCCTGATGAAAATTAAACTTCCTGTTTGAATCACAGTCAAATATTCCACTTGACAATGCAAACAATAGCTTATTTAAAAAGGAATTTACCTCTTATGCATCATGGGGAGGGGGGTGGAGAAAGGGGAAAGAAGGAAGGGGAGAAAAATTCAAACTCGAGAGTACTGAGACTTCTTTTCAAAGCATTTTTCATCTCCCCTGAAAAGTCCACAACACCTGGAAACAACTCGGATAAAAGACAACACGATAGTGACTATCCTGCCTATAACATCAATGGATTATAACAACCTCTGGTGATTTTAGGTACCTGTCAGTGAGTAAATGATATTTGAATGCGTCATCTGAACAAAAGTCTAATGTACATTTTAATTTGTATCAAATATTGTGATCTCACATTGTCTTTGAAAGTGTGGATGTTGGTGTTTTGTGATTTGGTGAACAGAAGTTAAATTGCCATTTATGGATACTTCAGGACATTCTCTGCTAATGGAGATACCATTTAAAGGTAGATTTTTCTCATGGTACTTTGGTTAACTGTCTTGGAAATTGTCTGAACTTAAAAGTTTACATTTTTGTTTCAAATGTATTGCTTGTTCTATTTCTAACATTCCATAAATATACTTGAAATGTTATTTAAATATATTCAGAAGAAATTTGGATTCTGCTTATATAATAACGCTTGAATATCTGAATTATATATTTGAAAAATGCACTTGAAATACACTGGATAATTACTTTTGTGAATTAGATTTTAATTTCTGTTGCTGGTTTTTATTTAAATACAAGCTAATAAATGAAGTAAAAGAAAAGTTGTGTTTCAATTCAGAATTAATTTTTTTATATTTGAAAATTTATTATGCTTCATTTTGAAAATTAAGCTTACACATTCTTTAACACCTCAGAAATATACCAGTGTAATCAGAGAAAATAATGGTAAAATAATGCTGAAATAATGGTGAAAACCCACTCCCACTTTAACTACTAAAGGCTATCAACAACTGTCAGTTTCTTAAGTAGTGATTATCAGAATAGCAGTATAACTTTTTATAGTGGTCAAAATATAATTCCACTTAGAAAAGGTTTTCTTATTCAAGTTAGGTTTTCATAAGGAATATTAAGGAAAAGTCAGTTCACTAGAGCAAAGGGTATTGAAACTATCTAATTTTTTTTATGAAATTCATCTTAACATTTGAAGTAAAGAATAATAAAGGGAGATGACTGATAGATGAAGTCTAGCCAGTAATAATAAGATAAAGATTACTTCTGACTTACAATAATATTTTGCTTGATAAAGATGCCAGCAAAACCCTAAAATCAGAAATCTAATCAGCTTATGCCTAAAGGCAATGATAAAATTCAATACAAATGATGAAAATTATTTAATATTAAAATGTATTTAAAATTATGTGATTTGTTTTGAAATTAGGAGAAAAGAGTTTGAAGAAAATCCTGCTTAAATTAAATATTTATAGTCAACAAGTGATGAAAAGAGCAAACCAACTACACATCTTGAGTTAAAAGATTTGTTTCATGATTTTTAGTATGGCGAATATTGTTTCCCAAAGACCAATTCGGTGATATTTATTTTATTTGTCTGGTCAGTATTTGGACACTAGACATGACTGGGTTATAACCTAGTCGAAACTCTATTGGGAATTCATCTTTGAAAATGATGGAATAATTATTCTTGAGAAATATTTGAAAGAACCATCTCTGCAAACTGATGCAAAAGATTCCTTTCCTACCTCCATTCTCAAATACAGAAAATTCTGTTTAGAAAGGTACTGTGATATAAATACGAAAAAAAGCTGGCTATAGAAAACAAAGTACAGTGGTACAAGCAAATACCAGATCTTCCTCCATAACCCTCTAAAGTAGTACTGTATAAACAAAATACAATAATTTATGTATCTTAAATGTGACCAAGTATTTTGTAGTTTCACACATAAATATACACATTTTTCAAAAATACAATTTAAAATGAAACAATGAAAAGTCAAGGCTTTTTAGAAAACCAGCTTTTTGAAGCTTTTGGTAAAGCTTAAATCCACTAGTAATTCTTATTTTAAGGAATAAAGTCAATTAAAAAATACAGGTAGAATTCTTTAAGGGTTTTTTTTTTTTTTAGTTTCAACATAAGCTTTCAGTAAATGATCCATATTGCTTCTATTTACACCTTTTTTTTTTTTGGAGGGGGTGAGGAATTAAAGGCATTACAATTAAAACCCACTCTTAGAGAAAAGCCCATCATGTCTTTTGAGACAGTAAGAGATCGTTGTTACCCCTAGGGATTTCAGGGCAATTGGCTTAACTACCAAATCTGCCCAAGTTCATACAAAGGCATTCACTGAAAGACTGTAAAAATGTTCCTGCTGTGGTAATAGAGGATTTAAAATTATGAATATATTTAACTTTCATCATCTCAACACGAGTTAAAAGAACCAGAGTTGTAGATATATTGCACCCATTTCCTTTGCACACAGAAAGGCAGACACATTCCTTTCCCTCTCACTGGTTATTTTTAAAAAACGAAGTCTACCCTCCATCCATGTAAGAACTAAAATTATGCCACAAATTCGCTAATGGTGCCAGTGGGTCCACTGGAGTACATGTACTCACTTTGGGGTCGATCTTCTTGAAGGCAGGATCGTCTTCCTCGACCTCAAAGTAAATTTCCGTCGTGGTGATGGAGAGTGTCCCCTTTGCCACCACCACGGGGGCTATGAGCTGAGCCGGTGTGCTGAGGACCACGGGGCCTGCAAGACAAGCACAGGGGTCAGGCGTTCGCCGGGCCGCCGAAGCCTTCGCCGCCCCGGAGGAAGGGCACCACCTCTAACTACAGGTTTGGCTAATGGGCGTTTGTGAGAACGTTGCCTTATCTCATTTTCCACAACACATAGTTCGAGGAACCCTGCCAGAGAAAATCTAAACAGTTTTTACCCCTTATCCTATCATGGGTCCCAGAATGAATTATAATTTTGTAAAACACCAAAAGCTGCCCCTCAGCAGCGTGAACCTTCCCCCAGAAAGACTGTATGGTGGGCTAAGGTGCCAGCATTAACCACTCGGAAGGCGCAGAGGGACATTGCGCCCAGATTTTCCAATGAAAGCGCAGTCTTTCCGAAGGGCTCGGATGGTCACTGTTACCCTAGACACAGGATTATGCAGAACGGTGCCAGGGTCGAGAAAGCTGAGCTTCTCCAGGGACACCGAGGCGAAGGGGTTGGGGGGGAGGATGGGGCTAAAGAGCAAAGCCACCGTATTCGGGTCTCGCATCCTTTTAACAAGGCCAAATTAATATCAACTGTATAGAACCTTAATATTTTGTATAATAATTTGAATAGAACTCCGTAAGTAGTAAGTACTTATCGAGCCACTTCTCATTTTAGAAGAGGATGAAAACACTAACAGTGATCATCTTCTCCCTGGGGAGTTTGTTAAGGCTGAAAACGGAGAAGAAACTTTAAAAAGAATGTTCTCCTCAGAAAAACTGTCTGTGGGCAGTCGTGAGGTTTCAACTTTTCAAGGAGAAGGAGGTAGACTTAGGGGCCCAAGGGCGTCTGAAAGTGTGCGGGCCAACAAGCGGAGGTTTGGCATCGGATTCAACGGACCAGAGCTAAGCCCAAGAAGTAGAGAATTCGTGTATTAAAAAGAAGGTACACTAATGCAACCGGGTCAGAGAAGTTATCTTAGGGAATCCGGGAGTACGTACACACAGACACACATAGACACAGAGACACACACAGTCACACAGACACACACACAGTCACACAGACACACACACAGACACACATAGACACAGAGACACACACAGTCACACAGACACACACACACACACCGGAAACGGGAAGTAAGCGAGTCGTCGTTCAGAGGCCAGGTAGCTCTTCTGCTACTGTTCTACTAAGAACTCTGCCTGCTCCTTTCCGAACAAAGAGTCAAGTTCATCGATAAAATGCCCCGAACCAGCGACAGTGAAGCACCAAGCCTGGTCACCCCAACCAGCCCCGAGCTCTCCAGGAGCCACCGGGGGAGGGGAGGAATCGGCGAGGAGAGTGGGGCTGGGCGGACCCGGGCAGGGGAGGGTCGTGTGGCCGGGCCTCGGGCCGTGCTCCCGGGCCTCGGGCGGCCCGCAGCTCCCGGCGCGGCCAGTTTCGGAGGGAGGGAGCCGGCCCGTGCACTGCCTGTCTTTATTCATTCCCCGCTTTTCACCATAAGCACATAGACCAAATTAGCCCCGTATCATGGTATCTAACTGTCATGTTGTTTATGTTTTCCTTTGGTTTAACACTCAATTTGCGACTCTACTGCACAGTAAAGTGTCAATTCCTTTGCCGAATTAAAAGAAAGGACGAGAGTAATTTATTTCGTGTAAAAAGGAGTATTTGAAACAAACTGTTTCAGTGACAGCTTTCAGCCTCTGATTGTGACAGTTTGGATACTATTGACACAAACTCTATTTTCTTTCATTTTATTGTTTTCTATCCCTTAATAAGCCAGTCTAGCCTCTTGACCCTAGTCAGCTGATGTGGATCACATCCGCCCGGTTGCCAGGTTCATTTTCCCTTTTCCTCTCCATCTTCTTTCCGTTATTTCTACAGTGGGAGCCAAGCAGAATCGAGATCCACCTTGGCCCAGCAAGGCTTTTCTTTCCAAAGGGCAAGGCGATCGATCCAAAGCGCCACTTTAAAGGCTCATCAATCTTAATCTAGGTTGCTCGAGTAATTATGCCTGATTCTCTTGTACGATTACAAGTGGATTTGGGTTTCTATTCCCCAGGCCCCTCTTTTGTGTTTATTGAAAGATTCGTACAGACAGCAGTTCCCTGATTTGCTGATCCATTTGCCCCTTTAAACAGACCATCCAAACCCCTCCTTTAACTCTTCAGTACCCAGGTTACTTCTCCAAGGCCACAGAATCTCCTTTCTATGCACCTTACTAACGGGATCTAGGCAAAGAAAGACATGAGGACTGGGATTTGGGAAAAGATGCGGGAAAAGGTTGGGGTGATTTAGTTAGAAAACAATGAGTCCCACTAAATATTTGTAGTCCTTGCAAATTTTCAGCAGACTCCATAGTTGGTTGGTG